GCTGGGGACTCCCCGTAACTCTGCCCACCTGGTTCACTGTGCTCTCCACCTGGACACCTCCCCATCGCTTCACCGGCTAATTCCCCTTAACCCTGTAGGAGTCGATTCAGATGCTATCGGCTCAGGCTCTCCCTGGCTCCCCAGCCTCAATTAAGTGCCCCTCCCGTATATTTAGTGGTGCGTTAGCTGCACCCAGTTGGAGGTGGCGACCGAGTCCTAAGCCCCTGATACTTGAGGCGCGGTTGAGGGCCTGCATTCTCACTGGCTACCTCTGGGAGCTTGTGAGAATGCAGTTCGCTAGGCCTTTACCAGGGCGCCAGGTCACTCACGCACACACTCCAGTTCAGTAAGCTCTGTTCTCACTGGACGAGGGGCCTGGGCCAAACCCGGCCGCCGCCCTCTGTGTGAACAAAGCTTTATGCCAACAGCCAGTCATCTGAATACACACTGCCTGGGGCTGCTTTCACACCACAGTGGAAGGGCTGAGCAGCTGCAACAGAGACCACCATATGGCCACACAGCCTAAAACATGTGTTCCCCGGCCCTTTACCACAGACGTCTACTAGACCATAGGCTCCTTCAAAGTGAGAACCCGTTTTGTTTTGCTTTGTAAGAAGAAAGGCAGATTAGCACAATGGTTATGTGTGTGGGCCTGAGGGCAGACTGACAAGATTTGTATCTCAGCTCTGCCATTTCCCTCAAGTGACTGGCAGGTCACCATCTCTGTGCCTCGTGTTCCCTTATAAAGTGGGGACAGAGAGTAGAACTACCTCACAGGGCTGATGTGTGGGTTACGTAAGGTAACGGACGTGAAGGGCTTCACATGGCACCTTCCGCAAACATTACCCTTAGCTGGTTCGCTATTTTTAGAGCACCGGGGACTTTGGTGATGCTGGCAGGATGGCCCCTGCACCTGACACTGTTTATCAATGCCCATTCTCTGCTTCTTCCTTGCTAACATCTAATTATTTTTTCAGGTATCTAACCTTCCGGGAGAGTGACCTCCTCCCTGGGCGACAAACACGACTACGAGCCAGTCGTGGTCACGCATCCTCAATGTCAGTGGACTGGCTTAGGGGCGGGCAGTTCTGGCCAACGAGTCAGGAGAAGAGGAATCTTGGAGGGCTTCTGGAAAACGGTTTCCTCATTCTTTAGAAGAAAACGTGGGAGAGATGCCCCCGTTCTTTCATGGATATTTGTTATATGTGAATGTGATGCCCTGAAGCGCAGCAACTATGAAGGTAGGCAGTCTGAGGACGAGCTAACATGTTTACAAGGGCAAAGCAAAGAGATGGGAAGAATCTGGGCCCTCTATGAGGTCAGAGTTGTTGAATCCATCAACCCCTGGGCCTCACCCACTCAGGTACTGATCTGAGGGAAGACAATAAATGTTTCTAGTAATTTAATTAGAGGCTAAAGCAACCTAACTCATATAGCCAGGGACCATGCTGACACATATTTTTACTCCGCCCAGGACCTAACAACTGTTGTTGGGTGCCATGAGCAAAGGAAGAGTGGAAGCTGGAAATGAATGGGCTGGGTAGGGCAAAAGGAGAATCACGGATGTTCCAGGTTAGTGTAGGTCCAATTCTTCATTCATCACTCTCTCTCTCAGCTGGAGTATCTTTTCCTGAGACCTGTGGCTCGCTCCCAAATGCTTATCTCCCTTGTTGTCTGAACCTACTACCTAAACATGGGAGGTCATTTCAGAGCCAGATGGGGTTTGATTATTTCCTTGACGATATCCATTATTTCCCTTCTGGGTAGGAGGAGGGTCTGCAGACAGCTGATCTTTTTGAGGCAGAGAGTGTGGAGGTGGGGTCTCTTATAGAACACGAAATACAAGGAAGTGTTCTTTGGGCTGGAAGTATCAAAAGATTGCTTAGAATTTACCGTTATAGGGGTTTAACGGTGTTGTCAGCTTGTGTACTGGTTTTGTGTCATATCTGAGCCAGAACTAGTAGCAGAGATTCAAAGCAACATAGGTGGCAAGTACACATGAGAGCAAAGCACGGGGAGAGAAGGGCAGCAGAGCACGGGGCTGCCCCCCACCTCTCCTGGAGAGCACCCTGGCCCTGGCGGTGGGAGGGAGGGGCAGCACAGTGTCGCTGGGCCCCCTGCAGTCCCTCACCCTGCAGACACTTACCACAGGGAGAAATGCTGAGTGGCTTCTCCTGTGAGTGCCCCGGGTTGGGAGACGCTCTGAGAACTCTGGAGCCATAAAGTGACTGTAACAATTAACTTTTTGTTTTGTTTTGTTTTTGTTTTTTTTGCCGTACGCGGGCCTCTCACTGTTGTGGCCTCTCCCATTGCGGAGCACAGGCTCTGGACGCGCAGGCTCAGCGGCCATGGCTCACGGGCCCACCTGCTCCGCGGCATGTGGGATCCTCCCGGACCGGGGAACGAACCCCTGTCCCCTGCATCGGCAGGCGGACTCTCAACCACTGAGCCACCAGGGAAGCCCAACAATCAACTTTTAAGGCAGAAGGAACCAAGTGACATGACCTTATTCATCCCCTTGCCTTTAGGCACTAACAGTACCACTAAAGCCCCCAATTACCTCACTACATGTTTGATGGTTAAAAGCCTTCCGGGGTGGGGTGTGGGGAAGCAGAAAGATTTCACAGGTTTCTCCCGTGAGCCGTTTTAATCTAAGAGAACTTTGACACTTGTCCTAGACCCACCCTGTTCTCGCCAGTCCAACCCCAAGACCCTCCTCCAAGTGGAAGGGTCCCAGTTCAGTGGCATCAGGCACGCCCCAGCAAGCGCAAGCTAAAGGGACAAGGGTGAGCGAACCCCCCGCGGTGAGACCTCTGTGCAGCGCCTACCTCCTGGCTCTCCGTCCCTCCTTTCCTTCCACCAATTTCTACGAATTGTCCGTCTTTCTAATGGACGCCATGCCTTTGCTTTCACCACTGGTGCTCTTCAAGACTAATTAGATCCTGAAGGGACAGGAAGTAAAAAGCAGTCTTTGGGTAAGCTGCTAATGTTCGTGGCTTAGAGCTAAAGTGGCCTGCCAGAGACCTGCAGAGAAGAGAACCCTCACTCCTCCGGGCATTCTCAGCCAAGAGGCAAGTGCTTCCCTTCCCTCGGGCAGCTCTGGGCTGAATATGCAACTTGCCATTCGATTGGGTTGAAGGAAGACTGAGGAGGCCACAAAGGTCAAAACTCACTTGCTCTTGGGGAGGGGGTTAGAAAGCTAGTAAAGAAAACCTGCGGTGCGGCTGTCTCAGGAGAGGGTACGGAGGGTTGGGTGGATCTACCAGAAGTGTTGTCAGTCTGTGCTGGGGTCTTTGGGACAGGAAGAGTACAGCCACCCAGGGAGAAAGCCTGCAGTGACACCCTCCACGGGGCCGATGTGCTGGAAGCACGCCTTGAGAAAGGTTTCCCTCCCTCTTGCGGGGCTGTTGGGAAGCTAGGTAGGACCAGGGGTCTGGCTTTCCAGAGTGGTCCCAAATGAATTTTCAGTTTCCTGGTGGGAACAGCGAACTCAGAAGATTGTCTTCTCTAAGAAAATCTGGCTATGGTTTTTCTCCTGGTCTACCTAGAGCCTGCACTGGTGGGTGAGGCACACGTGTGCACAGGGCCAGGCTATCGGCAAACAACCTTAGGGAGGAGGGCAAAGGAGAGGCAAAAGGGGCTCATTCCTCTACCTCACAGCTTCCTTTTCCAAAGGAAGCAGGATCCGCCCACCAGCAACAGTCCAAACACCACCAAAGAGGCATGGAAATGGGTATGCATGCAACTGGTCCATATACCCCCTCATCGCCTGGTACAAATGGAGTATAAGTTGGGGGAGAACTGTGCCACTGAGACCCCAGGCCTTCTGAGCCACAGCCCAGTTCCAGAGGCACAGCCCTCCTGACTGGTCTCTGGGTGGCAGAGTAATGCTCCCTTCCTAACCTTCGAAGAAATGGGTGAAATAACCTCTGGCTAAGGGGAGATGCCCATCTTCTTGGGGCTGCCTGGGGTGTCTGCGGCAGAGCTGGTTATGGCGGACTCCTCAGCAGAGGCACTGAGATCCAAGAATTCCAGGATGATGTCCCAAAGGCAGTAAATCAAATGCCTGAAACAAATGAACAAAACAACTCAGAGGAGGGTCTGGCTCGGTCTAGAGACACCAGATCCTGTTTATGACATTTATCTTCCCTCTCCCTTTCCCCTCTACTGATATCCTTAGTGGACTCCAAACATCAACAGCTGGACAAAGCCTCTGTCATGAAATGAAAGTCTGTTGAACTCATAAAGGCTATGACCTCAGTAAAGGTGGAGATGGTACTCGAGACTAGATGTTAGGAAATTCCACATTGCTTTATAGCTAGCTACATTAGCACATTGGCACTGCTCTGAAGAACTCTGAAGGAGGGAAAAATCCCTGTGATAACAACTTACTAAGAATTTTCAGGTTACCTGTGATGAGGTAAAGCCAGGAGCCTTGAGGTGCGAGAGTGAGCAGACACGGTGAGCTGCAGGACGGGGGTGAGAGGGGAGTGGGCGAGCACTCAACACGTGCAGAAGATTCCACCCCAAGGCACCAGCCAGGGAAGCACTGACCTCTCTGCACTATTCAAGGAGGTGCACCAGCATTTCTGGTCCCCTTATCAGAGGCCAACTCATCATCTTGTCTACCTCACATCAGGCAAAGACCCATGCTGAAAGTACTGCCCAGGCCAAGGGCTGCTCTCGAGATGCTCACAGGGGCAGGCAGGTGTCAGGAAGGACAGGCCTGGGGGTGACAGGGCCTTTTCAGTAGCTCACGTCGGGGCCTGCATCGAGTTCTTCCAAATGCAAACGGTGGCTGGTCCCACCAGCTTCCGACCACCTGACACCTGCTCAGAAGCCAGCACAGTGGGTTTTACCCAGTGTGTGTGGACCTGGTCATCACACTCTGGGGCCAGGGCCCAGGGCAAGGAGAGACTGCGGCACCGTTCCTCTCAGTGAAGCTGTTCACCCAGAAACCCGAGATGCCTCAGACCAGAGACGGCATCAGCCGTGCCTACCGGTTGATGAGGGGCTGCCGCAGTGACTCCAAGACAAGACTCCAGCTCAGCCGGCATTTGTTCACCCCAAGGATTTCTACGACGATATCTGAAGAGGAAAAACAGATGTGGTTTTAGTGTCACCGCTGAAGCTTTAGCTTCTAAGGGGTTTGTCTCCTCAAGATATCTGCTGTCTTTAATCATATTGGGTACTTCTGGCACACCTCTGAACCATACAGCCAAACTAAAATCGTCAGAAAATAGGGAAAAGCCAAGAAAAATGTTTCTTAACTTTAGGTATCTAAATTAGAATGGGCCTCAAGAAACAATTTGGTAACCTGTCACTAAAGTGCAGGTACTTCTGATACAACAGGTTAGGCTGGAGAACAGAGGTAAGTAAGAGTGAATAACACTGTCCAAGGCTAAGAGTTCACTACTGTACCCTGCTTCCCCCAGCACAACCAGAGGCAACAAACTGCCTTTCCCGCCCTCCAAAAGACCATATAAAGCAAAGGGAAAAAACCTTCTTCAGAGTTTGTTTTTATCTACCGCTAAGGACCATGCCCTTCACTCACTGGCCCCACGTTACCAAGCTCAGCTTCTGCAGGACCTGTATCGTTTTCTTCCCTGGTCCAAAGCAGAGACCCAGAAGTCTTCATCTGGTGGCAAAATGAAGAGACCTGCCCTAAAGTGAGCCTTCCCATTCCCTTAGCATCACTGGAAGTCCTCACCATTTTCCTGTTAGCCTCAGAAATGGTGGGTCAACAAATTTTTGCGTTTAGCCACAGTCAAGGCCCTTTTAAAAAGCGAGGAAGGGTGTGGCTAATCGTGGTGAAGCGGAGGGGAAGGAACAGTTATTGGTATAATCAGTCTCACTGTCCAATCACCTGGCAGGACTCCCATCAGGCTCTGCAAAGCCTGTTTCTCAGCAGCCGCCTTCTGCTCCTGGGTCCTTACGGGTCGAGGATACTCAGGCAAAAGCCCACCAGGCCAGATGGATTCCTGAAGAAGCCGGAGGTACTGCACCCAGCGCTGAGGACACGTCAGAGTAGCTACCTGCACCTCTAGCCACCTGTGGTCGAAGACAGAAGGGTCAGGTAAACCTGGAGGAAAGGATGCAGCGAGGTGTGAGTCATGTGAGCAATCAGAACAGAGCAAAGCCAAGTGAGCACCGACTCTCACAGGTGAAACCAAGCCAATCAACAACTTGGGATCACAGAATTTGAAGATGAGTAATAATACTATCATAATTATTCACTGAGTGTCTGCTATGAGGCACGTGTAGTATTAGGGGCTTTAGAACAGAACATTAAAGGGGCCTGTGGCTCTGGGGAAGGCTGCACCTTTCCAACTGTCCTCCACTGGAAAGCACCAGAACTTCTCAGTAACGTGTACACACAGCCTTCAGAGTGCAGGGTTTGGTGATTTTGTACAAATTCCTCTCCCCAGCCACCCTGTCCGTATCCAGTTGCTCTTCAAGCCCCCAGGACCTGTCCTGAGGACTCCCTTCGTCTGCCCCTTGCTCCTTACACACCAGGCCTTCTCCGTTCCAGTAACAGAAATCTGTCCCTCTGGCAAAACCTGTTCAAACTCCACCTCCTCCACGAAACCCTTCCTGAGCATTCCAGCCAGAAATGCTCTCTCTCCTCAGGCCTCCTCTGGCACTCAGTTCTAGAACACAGATTTGGCACCAGAATTTCACTTTGGAACATGAGTTATCTTCTCATGTATGTACAGCTTGACTTTTCCAGCTGAACTGTAAGCTCCACAAGAGTCCCCATAACAGAAACTTCCCAGGTGAAATAGTGGTTGACTGACTGGCAATTGTTCTTATTACAGTGACAATTTACCCTCTGTCTTGCTTTCAAAAACGAGTCAGTAACTCTGAGGGGGCAGGTATACCAAACCTGCAGTTCCTGCAAGGCGTTTCAGCGTTAATTCTTTGTTTGTCTCTGCATTTTTTCAGAGTGATACGGTCACTAGCTGGGGTTTAAGACTGCAGAGGCCTCCTTCGCAGGTCCCGTTTTGAGACTGGCGTGGCTGTGGCTGTGATGAATGAACCATCAGCCACGATACTCACGCACAGAAGACTCCATTTGGTACCGCACCACATGCAGCTCATGCCATCACTCTCAACCCGAGCTACTTGTCGCCCATCCAAGAGCAGAGGGGGCTGCCAACGCAAACTTTATTTAACCTCCACTCTGCCAGACAGTCTGCATTCCACTCAAGCTAGGCATTCCAGCTTTGGGGGCTGCAATCCCCCAAGCCCAGGGCTCACAAATGATTCTAAGAATAGGAAGTCTGAAAGGTAATGGCAGGGCAAGAATGGCAGACGTCGATGGACATCAAGAGCGGCACAAAGCTGCCCCTGCCTAAAATAGCCACCACAATTGTATTGTTATTATTAGGGCCGCATCTCCTTCTTACAGGGCTTTTCATTCAGTGAGTCTAAGACGCCTGATGAAAGGGATCCAGTAGCAAGAATTCCTGTTCCTGTTTATAGAAGAGGGTCACCAAAGGGAGGTGGATGCGATGACCTGATCAGGTTCTCTGCAGGGAATCAAGTGACCCAACTCGTCTTCACCTCAAGTCACATACACTTGTGTGACTTTAGCTAAGGTGAAGGACCTGCACCAGCGTCTCACCTAAGTGATTTGAGGGAGAGGGGCAAGGACCTGAGAGTCAAAAAATTTAAGTCCTCCAAAGGAGCCAGGAGAATCCTCAACAAGAAGGTTTCAGCCAGCATTGGTTCTAGCTCAGCTTCTCATGCACAGACGCATACAACAGGCTGGCTCGCCCTTCTGTTTGCCCTTCTCTTTGTCCTCAGGAGCGAGTAGTACCTGTGACTCAACTCTTCAGAGAGATCTTGACATCCACTCAACCCTTCCTCGGCTAAGCATAGCATACGACAGCAAACCTGGGCACCTCGGTCACCTTCAGGGCACGTTTTACAACATATGAGTCTCACGGTTTTGAATTAATGGTCATTCACTCGATGGGAACAGGACCTCGAGCTGCACTTGGGCAAGGAGGTCCTCTTTGTTCCCTCCCACAGTGACTGAGTGTCTCATGCACACATCCTTGATGCAAAACAAATGTGTGCACGTGGCAAAATATAAACTTATACAAATATACTAGACTGTACCTCATCAAACTCTAAATGGGGGCATTGGGAAGAAGAACCAAAGCGTGAAAAAGTTAAGAGTAAGCTGTTCTTAACCTAGGAGTGGGAAGGTTAAAAAGAAATCTGTGTCTTGAAGCAAAAGGAATGGAACTTATGTGTCTGCAGTCCAGTGTGTCACAACAGTTTTCCAGCATCAGTTTCTGGAATCTGCTGCTATCACTATTAAGCTAACAGACAGCTCAAGTTTCAAGGGGGACACACACACACATATCCCTTGGACTATTTACTATTTACAAATTATTTGTAAGAAATCATCTACTAAATACAAATGTTATTGTTTACGTAATACAAGATGCATGAGGTAAATACACTAAAATAAAAATGGTAGAGAATAGCCTCAAATAGCACTGGTTTTATTTTCTACTACTATTCTAGTTCTGATATTCGATTTAGGTATTTTCTTCTACCATCCTACCTTTTTCCCAAAGAAAAGAAGAAAAAAAGCCAAACCACATCTGTTCCGTCTGGCCATCTCTGAATGATTCAGAGCACAAAGAAGCCTTACTAGGGGGCCCAGAACAGGCAATAAAATGAGAAAAAAACAACAACAGATGTAACTGAGACATGCAAGAGCCTCTATGATGCCAGACGTGGGATGCAGAGATCAGGGCATCCATTCCACTGGGCGCGCATGTCCAGTCCACGCTCAAAGGAACCTGGTCTGAAACAGCTATACGCAGAGGGATGAAGCAGTGGCTATAAAGGAGACAGTTTAATACTAGGGCTTAAGATGGCACTTCAAGGTTAGCAGAAGGTCATTTTCCATCAAAACAGCAGAATCAAATCTCAAGAGGAAGGGGAGAAAGCTTTAAGGGACCACATCTAATTAGCCAAACTCCCCTCACTTCTTCTCTAAGATTGCTGCTATGGCTGAGTAGGAAGGCCCTGAATGAGTATGGCTTAATGGGGAGGGAGGGGGAGAAGGACAGTGAAATAATAACCGAAAATATTCACAAGAACAATAACTATATTCTAACAAAAATTCCTGGTGCAGTCTAAATGAAAGACAGTAACAGACTGCTTCCTGAATCCTCTTCACCCACTGGGCTGTACCTCTGTATCCAACACAAGGGCGATGATGCCTCAGCCACTTACAACCAACTGGAAGTACCAAATACAGGTCAACGAGAAAGAGAGAGAAAAAGAAGATGATGTTAAAGCTTCTGTCACTTTAAACAGACCTACAGACTGCAGGTGTCCACTCATCCTGTCACCCTAGAGCAGGGTTAACAGTCATCTAAATGGGTTGTTGGGCACAGGATGTTTTTCAAACTATGGCTGAACAGCATTAGAGGTCATGGCGTCTACTCTGTGGTTTGTGACAACATTTAAGAGAACACCTAAATGTAAATAGATAAGAACAGAAAACATAAAAGTGCACCTCAAGTTTTGGGACCCTTTTACTTATGCATGTATATATGGATATAGCAGATCTGTATTTGTGTGTGTGTGTGCGTGTGTGTGTTCAGAGTGGGTCATGATGTAAAACGTATTTTTTACTGTGAGATGAAGTTTAAAAAAAGTTTGAAAAACATCGATATGGTACAAGGAATTAAGACTTCCAAGAGAAGGAGGAAAAAGCTCAAGCCACATCTTTAGCCTCCTGGAGACAGTCCCCACCTCCACCCGCCCCCAAGCGGCATAAACCCGAACACTGTGTTCTGTAGCACAGTCCTAGCACACTGCTCTGAGCATTTGCTCATGGAATCAGCAGGCCCAATCTACTGGGTGGAGAGAAAGGAGATCTTGAGGATGACGGTGCGGATCCAAGGTATTTCCCATTTTACACAAGTTGTTTTTGCCAACTTCACACCTGATAAAAGTAACAGTTCCCTTCCCTCTGATTCCTTTCCCAGGCCTCTGCCTTCCTGCTATGGCCCCTTCGTGTGTTTACAGACAGTCCCTCCCGGTCTGTGCTCAGCTCTAGGCTTCCCAGTCCTACAGCAGCCAGACCCAGGTTGCTCGGCTGTGCCTGAGAGAGTTCAGGCCCTTTGAGTGTGTATCTAGGTCACCATCCTTTCCTGCCCTGTGTGGGGAGAAGAATGAGGAGGAAATGAACTTCAAGGGCAAGAAACTCCTGTTTCTTCCTCCCAGTGACTATTGTGAAATCTGAAGTGGCTTGCAGAGTCTCACACAATTTCTTCTTTGATTTTTGCTTTTTCATGGTTTAAATCATGGATCCACATCTTTAAAACATGTGCTTCAAAGGAAGACTACTGACTGAACATCATGATTTAAGAATCTGAGTTCTATAGTTTTATAACTAGCCACAAAGTTTTTGTTTTTGATTAGTAACATATAAGTTGCAGATACAAAATTAATATGCTTTAATAATTGAAATATTTTTAACCAGGGAGGTTAAAGAAATCCTCTGTTGAACCCTAGAGGTTATCTTTTCCAATCTCACCAATTCACGAATGAAAACACTGCGAAAAAACAAGCATTTCATAGCAAGAGGCTTATAGAAACATACAACTTTAGAGCTGGAAGGAAGGAGGTTACCCTATCTAACCTCCTCCCAAAGTAGAAATCCCCTGTGTGATATCGTGGCAGAGCCAAGGGTTCTGGCCTCTGACTCCAGAAAGTTGGGCTTTTATCTTAGCTCTGCCACCAATGAGGAATGTGACTTTGGGGAAGTTGCTTAACTCCTGAAGAGGGTAATTTCAATTTATTAGGGATGCTTCTTAAATACTGGCGCCAAAATCTGCCTCCTTATAACTTCCAGTCATTGCTCCTATTTATACCCTCAGAAGTTTAACAGGAGGTATTAAAGTTGCTTGGTCAAATCTCTTTCAAAAGACAACACTATGCATTTTTAAATTCAGCTATTATACTAAGTCTCCTCCACAAGGTATACATCTTTGATTCTGCCAACGTCAAGGCTG